CACACATACTCACACATACATACACAAACATTTACACATACATAATGTAGGCAGTTTATAACACTCAGAAATAAATTGCATCCAGTGTTAAATATCATCGTTGCCCCGACTACAGCGAGCATTTTATCTTTACTCTTCCAATATATACATGGAAATATACATATATATATATATACATATATATACATATATATGTATATAAAACTATGTATATGTAGTTATATAGCTTTTTAAAGGCACATTTGTACAGATTGAAATTAATGGAAATACATTTATATGCCTGAATTCATGTTGTTTGAACCAAACAGCTGACACAGACACACACACACAAATGCACAAACACAGACACAAACACACACACACCAGCATCACCATCTCCACCTTCTATCTCTCCATCCATCCATCCATCCATCAATCAATCATTCAGTTCATCCTAATAAATAATTCAGCAGAAGGCAACGATGTGATGTGACGGTCTGACTTTTTTCTTGAGCTGCCAAATTTTTTCTGAAACTGGAATGAAAAAATAAAAGAACTCGAGAGAGAAAGAGAGAGAGAGAAAAAGAGAGAGAGAGAAATGAATATAAAGAGAGTATGTTAAAAACGAAGAAGAGAAAATCAATGTAGAGTAGACACGTAATATAGAATATAGAGAAAGGGAGAAATAGTAGATAAATATAGACTGAAAAAGAGGAATGTACACACGTCTGCGATGCAATGCAGGCAATAATAAACACCCCCCACCCACACACACACACACACACACACACACACACACACATACTTACACACACACACGTACACACACGTACACACACAAACAACACACACACACAATCTCTTATTAACTGAACGGCATTTAACTAGGTGCATTTTTCCATCAATTCTATTTATTTATTTCATATATGTGCCTAGTGTTTTGTTTGCTGATTTGTCTGCTGTTTATTTGTTTGCCTCGTTAAATATAGATGAATGAATAAATGGATAGATGAACGATTAGATAGTATTCATATATTTACATTTGCTTCAAAAAATACGCTCACACACTCTCTCTCTCCCTCCGTCCCCCTCTCTCTCTCTCTTTCTCTCCCTCTCTTTCTCTCTCTCTCTCTTTCTATCTATATATATATATATATATATATAATATGGGCATAGCCTTGCTGACCATATGTTTTGATATATAGATATATGGATATTCGCATATGTTTGAATATATAGATATATATATATATATATATATGGATATCTGGATAAAAAGATCCATTAAGATTCCTCATTATGTATAAACATGAATGGATGCTATAGATTAATAAAAGGTCATTAAATCGTGAGTTACTTATAAAAATTTCAGACCTGCCATCTGCATGGATTTGTTGTAGAAACGTCATTGGCTAGACCGAGAATGTATTTTATTAACTCTATAAATATATAAATAAATAAAATATTAATCAGTTGATTAATTTTTAGTTTGATTGATTAGTTAATTTGTTAATTAATCAAAACACCTATATATATTTAAATAACTCATCCAATGTTACGAAATTTTGTTTGCATAACTTGCTACAGATGAGCCAAGCCATGCCTTTCAAGTCAAGGGCGTATGATTGGAAATAAGGAAACAAGTGAATGTGTTGGAATTTATTAAAATTTTAAAGTTTATTTTATAAAATTGAACTAAATTTACTAATTATCTTGATTTGGTGGGTGATTCTATGTTGGATTTTTTGTCAGATGTACATATAATTTATTTTTGCAATCAAATTTTAAGAACTGTGATCATACTTTCACAGGAAAATACACACATTCACACACACACACACACAGACAAACACACACACAAACACATACATACATATAACAAGCAGACTATAACAAGCAGACATACGCACGGATAAAAGGCTAAAGAAATTATGATAATTCTACGAAATTTTATATAAAAAAAATTCAAATTAATTAAATGTATATATATATATATATATATGTGTGTGTGTGTGTGTGTGTCTGTGTGTGTGTGTGTTTGCGTGTTTATGTGCGTGAACAAGTAATCTGCTTTGTTGCATTAGCTTCGAATTAGTAACATGCAAACAATACGTTGCACTGTTAAATTTCAAAAATATTCATTCCATTAAGATAAAAATACTTTCTTTGATTAAGAGTTACGCAGTACGTACGTACCTACATACATATTAAATATAAATAAATTCTGATACAGACAGACAGATACAGACAGACAGACAAACATAGAGGCTTACGATTACCCTAACCCATGGACAAAAACAGACATATAGAGAGACAAACTCAGACAGAGATGAGGGCATAGAATGCATTTAATCATGCTAGTCCAATCAAGTTAATGAAGCGCTTGATGGCCGTTTAATGTCAGTTGCTATGTCTTTTCAACTCTCTTATTAAACTACTCTCTCTTCTATGTTTTTGTTTTCCTGGATTTCTGGCAAACCAAATGAAGTATTGAGCGTTACTTTAAGCGTTACTTTAAGCGTTACTTTGTGCTTTACTTTAAGCACATACTTTCATATGCGCTGTTCGTGCGTGCGTGTGTGTGTATGTACGTGTGTGTGTACGTGCGTGTGTGTTTGTTTGTGCGTTGTGGTCTTGTCGCCTCTGAGAACTAATTAGGAGAATCAACAATAATAATAACAATAGTAATTAACAATAGTAAGTGGTCCGTTGGGCCCTCTGGTCAGTTGTGTCAAATAAATAAAAAATAAATAAATAAATAATAATAACAACAACAAAATAATAAAAATAGTAGCTATAACAATTTTAATAGCCTACACAACGTCCAGATGGTCACATGTGTTGGCATCTTCATCAAAATTTCAACCGCGCCTTTAATTCCCCGCCAAGGAACAATAAATGAATTAATAACTTAGTCGCTCTATATCGTCGTTATAATATCGTTATTTTACCGTTATCGTACCGTTATTTTACTTTCATAGTATCGTTATTTTACCGTTACCTTATTATTTTTTACCTTCATATTTTCGTTATTTTACCGTTATATTACCGTTATATTATCGTTATTTAATTATAATTATTATTCATTTTATTATTATTATTATTCACTTATTGCTGGTATAATTTTTTATTTTTAAAGGTTAACGAAATATAATAATTATAATTAAAAAAGTATGCAGGCAGACTCGCAGACTGACATAAAGAGCGCCAAAACCAATAGCATCAACAACAACAACTACAACATCAACAAAAACATCAACGACAACATTAATAATGATTATAATAACATGAATGACAATAATAAAGACGAGAAAGGTTGCATTGATGTAATCGGAAACAACGCAAACAAAAACATTACCATCAAGGAAATTATCGGCAACAACAATGATGTCAGCATCAGCAACAACAACAGCAGCAACAACAACAATAACAGCAGCAATAACAACAACAGCAACAGCAACAACCACCACATCAGCAGTAGCAGTAGTAGCAGCAGCTGCAGCAACAACAACAGCTTAAAGATGGACAAAAATATCCTGGACACGACAATCATAAAACGTGATTCACGCCAGTCTCCAACCAAAGAAGTATTAGCGGACAAATTATTGGTATCATCATCATCATCACCATCATCATCATTATCGTCTGTTTTACCATCATCGTCAGCACCACCAATCCAGCAGCCATTCTCACCATCATCGAAACCACCACAAAAAAACATTACCATGACACCACTATCACCAGCCTCATCATCAACGTCAACAAATATAACCTCAACAACAGCAACAACATCAACAACACCACCAGCAACAACATCATCAACAACATTAGCAACAACAACAACAACAGCGATCTGTTCAGAGCCCGCCATTTTTACGACTGCATCGAACAGCGGTTGCTTAGCAACGAACTACACGCTCTGCAACAGTGACGTCAGTCACGTGACAGGAAGTACACATGACGTAGAGCTTATTTGCAGCCACGCTTGTGGTGCTGACGCCGACGATGACGTAAACAATGAAAATGGTTACAGCGACAATATCGATGGTTATGCTGTTGCCGTTGATGGTGGCCATATTGGTGGCCACGGTGACGTCATCGGTGGCGATGATGACGTTGGTGATTATGATAATGATGATGAGGGTGTGGCCGCTGTGGGAAATAACGCCGAGAGTGGTAGTTCGAAATTTGTGAGTGTGGAAGCGACGCTTCTGCAGGTTATTAACGAAGGTGAGACTCTTATTTCATGTGTTTCTGTATATGTGTGTGTGTGTCTGTTTATGTGTGTCTGTGTATGTACATGTGTGCGTGTATGTGTGTCTGTATGTATGTGTACATTACAAATTACAATTAATTTTATCTTATTATTCTAACCATTAATTTAACTATATAAATAATAATTGTAAGCAATTAAAACTAATTAACACAATTTCCAGACCGAAAAAAGACAAAATCCGGATTAATAATATCCGGTGTGAGGCAGAAGCGCATAAAAGCAGCGGTGGTAGTTGTGGCCTGCTTGCTGCTGCTCACCAGCTTCATACTCGTCGGAGTCACCCTGTCTATGTCTGCCCACATTGATGATATGGGTCAGTTGCTAGTGTATGTACTGTACACACACACACACACACACACACATCCACACATGCTTGTATGTTTATATGTATGCTTGTTTGTTTGTATGTATGTGGGTATGTTTTTTTGCGTGTATGTATATATGTATAATTGAGCATAAATTATCATAAAAGCAATGCAAAAACTACATTTAACCGTACATATGTTTATGTACGTGTATATGTCTAAATAAATACGCATTTGTGTTTGTGTGTATGTGTTTATGTATGTTTGTAAGTACGTGTGTGTGTGTGTGTTTTGATTTTGTATAGCAGCCACATCTTCAAAAATAAAATTCGTAAATTTTCCAATTTTCTTTTCAAGTGCTTTCTTATCATTCACACAGAGTTGTTTAAGTCACTATGAAGTAATTACATTGCTTGCCTTTGATAATGTTAATCCATCCATCCATCTATCCATTTATTTGTTTCTTTTGTTCATTCATTCATTCACTCACTTATCTATTCCTTCATACATTCACGCGTCTATCCATTCATTCATTCATGAATGCAGACCAATCTATGCATCTAATTATCTATTAAGTCATCCAATTCACCCATTCATTCACTTATTTATCCATTCAATAAAATCACTCATCCTTCCGTCCATCAATTCATTTATTTAACATTACCGGTCGACTTCTCCATTCATCATTCATTCCTTCACTTGCACCTCCAATAAAACAAATCAATACATCACTACACGGATTATTATACGCACGTTTGTGTCAGTGTGTGTGTATGTGTACGTGTATATGTATGTGTGTGTATAGAAGCTTGCACGCATGCATTTATTAGTATGTATGTATGTATATGTGTGTGCAGTGCATGTATGTATGTGTGCATATATATATATATGTGTGTATGTACATATGTGTGTGTGTACGTTTTCGTTACATTAGTTTAGAAGCACGTTTTGCCTACAATGAGAAATCTGCGGTTAAAAATTTTGTATAAAACTTCCATCAATCTTACGAGATACCCATAAAACGTTATTGTTATTATTATTATTGTTAATATTAGTTTTGTTATTATTATTATCCAATCGATCAATCATACAACCAACCAACCAACAACCAATTTATCTAAACAGTAAGAAAAAAGTATGACCCATCTCTGAATTTATCGAACCACAACAAAAACAGCAGTAGTCAGCATCAACAACATCAGCAATCACATCAACGTCAACAACAAAAAACTACCACAACAACAACAACAACAGCAGCAACAACAACAGCCACAACACTAACAGGCAAAAACATCCAGTAGAGATTTAAAACCACATCTTCATCGTCGTCGTCGCCATCATCATTCGTGTCAGAAAACGGTAAACTTGGTGTAAAGTAGCAATTCCTCAACATGGAATCTAATTTTCTGGACTTGCACTAATTCGCCAACTATCGCTTCTGCTTCTGAGTCAACATCATCACCACCACCACCACCACCATCATCACGTATAACCACCATCATCATCATCACCATCATCACGTATAACCACCACCATCATCATTGGTATCGTGAACAAATAACCACAAATCACAGTAACCATTCCAGTAACAAACACAAATTTGAACAATGCTAAAGGGTAGATAATACAATATGTCATAAATATATATATATATATATATATATATATGTGTGTGTGTTATATATATATATATATATGGTACTTATAATTATACTATTTAATTACTTTCCTTTATTTGCCATCACTTAGTACACAAATAAGGAAACAGTCAATTAACGTCATACTATAATGATAATATCAATATTATTTCAAAAAAAGATATAGAGTTAAATATGTATAAATATATATATATATATATGTATATATAAAGCATGTTGGAAGGATGCTTTATACAGGCATTAATCAATTCAAAGTTTGTCTTTTCAATTTATTTTTCTTACTAGAATTTTCTGGGATCTTTCCGATTTTTTTTAAATAGGCATACGAATACATATAAATATATAAACACGTAAAAAAAAGGAGAATTATATTTTAAAGAAGACTGTCTTTGTTTTATGATTGAATGAATATATGAATGAATAAATGAATGAATAAATGAATGAATGAACGAACGAACGAACATGCATTATTAATATTCAAAGTTTTAATGATTGCATTGTCAAAAGTTGAACTATAAAAAGATACTACACAATCGTTACGTAGGCTAGGATTGCGGTAGAAAAAATATCAATAAATAGCATAGATATAGACAGACACGCGGTTTTGATAGACTGTGCCTTTGGAAAAGTTAGGTATTTCATTCATTACAATTCTTTAAAAAAAAACCCAGAATCTGACAGACGCTCCTTACAAACATGAATATAATATAAATATATATTATGTTGTATAATATTATATACTTCCATGGTTACAACACGCAAGGTAATTTTATAAAATTAAAAAGTATAAATAGATAAACGAAGTAAAAATGGCTATATAAGGAAGATTAAATAGCTATTTTAGAAACTGATATATGAATAAATTAATTAATTAATTAATTAATAGATAGTTTAATAACTTAATTAATGACTAAATGAATAAATTATCAATAGAGAAACAGAAAAGACGAAGTTTTAAAAAAATGACGAACGATTATTCAATAGTCGTTCGTCTACTGTCTAACAATATGTTTCACGGATATCTCGGGATGGAGGTTTTATCTCAATTATAGTTTTCATATATCAACATAGGTCATCCAACTTCGTAATTATACAAATTTAATGTAAAAATAATTTTAAATTAAATTTTTAAATTAAATTTTTAATATAAATAAAAATACAATATCGGTTTTTACATGACACAATACCTTTTACTAGTACAAAAATATTATATGCATATCTAAGAAATTGGTATAAACTGGCTTGATGAATGAATAAATAAACAAGAAGAATGTTAAACACGAGTAGATGTACTAATAAAGTTGAATGGTGATTGAAAATCTTAGATTTGTTTGCATAGATAAATAATAATCAACCGATCAAATAAAAACATCATAGAACGTTAAAGAAAATTAATAAATAACGATCATTGGCGTACGTAAATACCTTTAATTGCATTCCTAATAATGTACGACGATTTGTACACACACACACACACATGCACGTGTTCTTACTCGAATGACGTCATTACGAACGCGGCATAAAAATAGATTGATAAAAGACCTAAAAACGACAAACGAAATCGTTATGATAACAACGGAGTCATAAAATATAACAGCAATATAACTTACCGAACAGTTGCTGATCGAGACAACATTAAACATGATTAAAACATGGTAGCTAAGGAGAGATATAGAAAAGTAAATAGCGCGCAAATATATAACGAACGAATGTAAGAAGAATACTGTACAGTTTGATATTGTCTAGGATCCGATGATTTACAAGCCTGTTTGTAGTTGGTGTCGTTACGTACACAACCACAATTGCAAACCAATACAGACCACTATTTCAAACGAGCGAACCAATGTTCGACTACAAATGACCAAACATTAAACAACAAACGAGCAGACATTCAACAACAAACAGACAGACATTCAACAACAAACAGACAGACATTCAACAACAAACAGACAGACATTCAACAATAGACAGACAGACATTCAACAATAGACAGACAGACATTCAACCACAAACAAACTCAAGAGCAATCACTAAGCAGATCAACAGTATCTCTGTAAAGATTTGGATCAGCAACACCATTACTACTAGCAGCTGCAGCAGCAGCAGCAGCAACAGCAGCAGCACGCCCAGCGGCAGCGAGTTGACGAATATCGCTAAAGAGGCTTCTAGACGCTTCATCCTCCTCAGTCCTATTAGCTTCAACTAGATCTTCCTCTCTGTCAAATGTTCCATACGGCTCAATCTGGATGGTGACGTCAGTGAAGGAATATTTGTACTTGAGCAATCTTTTCAAGTGGGGTAGCGTGTCGAAGTGGATGTTGTTCTGCTTAAAGAGTTCGGCTATCAACTGATTATCAGTGTACATTCGGTCGGACAGTCGGTCCATTTTCTCTGCAAGTGCGTGTGTGTGTGTGTGTATGTGTAAGTAGTGACAGGTGGATGGGAAAGTTGATAAATAAATAAATAATAATAATAATATAAACATTTATGAAGCGCCCATTCGCACAGCTGCTTCAGAGGCTAAAAGAATATAAATTTATAATGATAATCAAACAAACGAACAGTACAAGAAATTATTATTGATCATTGTAGAGCTGACGACGACGACGTCACGTTGTAACTTTCAGAAATCATCCCTAGTAAACTTTTAATCATCATCTTCATCGTCAATCAAATTAAAAAAAAGCTTTTGCTTTTCTGTCATTACTTCGTTCAATACTTTAATACTACCACTAATAATAAAAAAATTTCATACACAGACACACACACACATTTACATACACAGACAGACAGACAGACGGACACACACAGACACAAACTTACTCAGAACGACGTGAACAGAAAGACAGACATGATCACTTGATAACTGCCAAATCCTTAGATTGTGAACACTGTGGACTGACGACACCTCCAAAATGTCCTCCTTGATGCTTTCGATATTAACATTGCCTGGGCAGGCTGTCAAAGCATCATCACTATTACTACTACTTTTATTATAACTTATTACGTAAATATGCCAGTTAATTATTAAATAGTAATGGTAATAAATTAGTAAATTACTAGCTAAATATATATATATATATATATATTATATATATGTATATATTATATATATTCAATATATATACATGTATCTGTTAAGGTTAAAAGTTTCTCTCTCCTTGCGTTCGCTTCAGAGGTTTCAACGACAAACACACACAGCGTATAAGAATACGCGTGCAAACCACGCATCATACACATTGCATATGATAGGCGGGGATCTCTTTTGTATTGGAACCCAGTCATTGCAATAGCAAGACCAGACGCCATTAACCAGTGAGCCATCACGCCGTTACTTATGCTCAAGTTGTTATATCTGTTAAACAAATTGTTACACTTCTATCTGAAGATGTTATATTCATTTATAAAAAGCCTGTTCTATTGTTCTATTTAATCTTGTCATCATAATCACGCGCGTGTGTGTCTGTAGGTATCTATGAGTTTGTTTGTGTGTGTGTGTGTGTGTGTATTGGTTTATATTAAGCTGACATGAAATTGATTAAGATGAAAAACATTGGTACATTGATATAAACAAAACTATTTTAGAATTAAAATTCAGTTGAGTCTATTGATTTAGATTTCAGTTTTAAGAAGTGTCAGCACCTTAATTAATCTCTCTCTCTCTCTCACACACACATATCTATATGTGTGTGTGCAGCCATAATATTAACCATGTACAATTTATAGCAAATAAAATAATATTATAAAAATCTGTACAAAAAGATATAACACATGAAATTATTTAATTGCCTGGTAGCAAGCTATTTTGATAGCATCTTAAATATTGTGAGAATGGAATTGAGAATTCAGTAAATCAGCGAATTTAAAATTTTAATAATAATTATCATATTAATTATTACTAATTAACATAAATAATATTAAATAATAAAATAATTTTATAGTAAGGTTAAAGAAAACCGACCATTCATTAGGATACCCATAGTATCAAGAAAGACACGAATAGTTGTTATTATCACCAATCCAGAAAATATGAACGTACATATCGGGTCAGCTATCTTATATTCCGGCTGGTTATGTTTATTCATTTAACTAATTTGATTTATTATTATATAATTATTGAAATTTTTTATTGATTGATGATTCAATTATCTTTTTATTGATTTTGAAAAATTGTTTTTGGCAGATAATGTTGAACTTTAAAAAAATATAAAATGATAAGCAAATATTATAGCACGTGTGTGTGTAGTGCTTATTTTTTATCTAGAATGAGAATGTTAAAATTCCTCAATTTAAAATCAGAACCATGTGTCATAATGTAAATAATTTTTAAATTATAACATTTTGAACAAATAAAAGAATAAATAGATAGATAGATAGACATATAGATATACATAGACATATAGATATATAGACATACGTATAGATATATGGACAATCAAAAAAATAAAAAAAAAATAAAAAAAGCAGAGATTGACAAAACCAAAACTACTTTGAAATAGATGATGAGAGAGGCAACGAGAACGCCGAGGCTCTGGAAAATATCTCCGACGACATGTATAAAGGCAGCTCGGACGTTTATATTCACCAAACGAGACGACCTGGCTATGTCAGATTCATCGGAAGTGGGATGCGAGGGAATGACGTACGATACGACATGCCTGCTACGCGATATGATCGGATATAACTCCTCATTTGGAACTTCGCTGGGAACTACGAGTGCCCCCGATCGACTGGGTCCAGGTTCTCTGCCATCTCCATTGGCCCTCCGATTTTCCTGATGACGATGTCTATGTCGTCCAAATCCGTGCAAGCAAGCAGCCATGCTGTCAATCAAGTTAAAATAATGCCAGGTTGTTTATGTATGACCTATAATATGTAACATTTTTTGAATGAAAATATTTTGTTTTCATTCTAAATAAAAAATCAACTAAAACACAAATTGTGGACAAAATTATGAAATTATCAATAGAAGAGCTAAGAGAGAATCGTGACATAGAAGAAAACAGCGGAAGCATACACAATGTTGAAAGCAAGAGCAAGGCTAGCAGTGATGAGCATGATAGTTGCATTGATCTCATAGGAACCATCCCTCAACCTCAGGATTGCTAAGAAAACAAGGACAGTTGTGACACCCCATATGAACATTATGCTTACCAAGGCTCCCACTGTTTCTGTGGAAATCAATTAAACAGAAGATGAACAGAAGGAAATCTTAAATGGCAATACTTCAACATATGTTTCACTGAGAAAGAGTTAAATCATAAATAAACAGACAGACAGACAAACAAACATACAAACCAGCTCTTTGCCATCCAAAATTGAGTTTCTTTCCTGGAGGCTTTGAAGCCAAACAAACTGAAAATATGCTGATGAGAAAACTGGCCAGGTCCGTGGACATGTGTGCTGCATCAGTAGCAATTGCCAAACTGCCTGCTAAGTAACCACCTGTTTTGATGGTAGGTAGGTAATATTCACATTACTATACAGAGAATGCTTAATAATAAAGAATCAGTGTAGTAATATAGAGTAAGTTATGCATGTAAATAGAAAAAATTGTTTACATTATGAATATCACACAAAAGAAACTTCATACATGCAATTTAGTTGTGATTGACATTTTTTTTGTTATTATTACTTGAAATAAAATCAAGCACATAATAATCAACTAATTAATTATTTAAATTCGTGATAAACAAGAAATTTTTCTAACCAGCAATTTCTCCAATCATAAAGATAAGGCACAAGACACTAGCAATGATTAACTTCTTTAAAGCTGATTTATCAAGCTTTGGCATAGCCTCCCTTTCGCAGTTCAACAGCACTCGAGTCCGGGCTGCTGGATTAGGTTCATTGGACATGGTTCTAAATATTTACTTTTTATGCTTCTGGCAATATAGATAACCACCAATTTCTATTTTTCTGTCTGCAATCTGTATTTAGTAGTCTTTATGACAGAAATCTAGTTTGGGATACTGCAGTTTCTTGTCTAGCTCTGCAAAATTTTAGCATTTTTTTAATTTTATTTTTAAAAAATGTACTATCAATCAAATTAAATTAAAAATTTGTAATTTGTATTGACATTTTTACTTATATTACTTTTATCTAGAAATGTTTTTGAAAGGTTAACAACAATCTTTATAACAAAACTGAAAATGTGAAATGAAGCTAGACAAGACTCTTCAGTATTAGTTCATTTTATATCTTTATCCAGTGAAATAAAAACATCTCTCATTTAAAATTCTTCACTTTGGCTAATAAATTAGCTAATTTCTTCATTCTGCAAGTAACAGATGTAGTTTTGATAAAAACTTTTCTATGTGGACAAACAAAAACAAAGTGAAAATGCAATTCCAAAAGCTTCACCTACTTGTAGTACTAACTTACAAATTGTAATAAAAACTGATTTTAGCCTAGTTAGTTCAGTTCAGTGGTACAGTAGTGAATAACAAGAAACAGTAGCAAGAAACAATCCTTTTTAAAAGTGTTACTTAAATTAAATTAAATGATACAATACCTTATTTACATTTAAAACTTCCCTGACACAATACAACAACGAAACAATTTATGTAGACTAATACAATTCCTTTTAATTGCAAATTCGAACTAGATCAAGAGGGAAACATACACATTGGCCTGCTACAAACAGCACAAACACAGCATGCACACAATGCACTGAGATGAAGCCAAAAGCGTGTGACCAAACGGGAGGATAGGAAAAATGAAATGTAAACTTAATTCATAATCAACATTCTGAAATTTTAATTTAGCAAAAATAAAATTTTATTCTTTCTAAGAGAACATTTAATAAATTGACGATGTAAACCATGGATATATATCCATACATATGGTGTAAACATCAAGATATCCGTTATGCTTATTATCATTTAACTTAAATATTCTCCACTACTATTTTAAAAGCCTTAACTCTGGATGACAATTTGTAAGAATTGATCTTTAAAACTAAAAGCCAACAGATTTCAATACTTTCCTTTAAGAGACAGATAAACCAAATTAAAACTCATTTAACTGTCAAATAGTTTAAAAAACAATCAGTAGTAACACACATTAACAAACAACACAATAAGAATATGCCATCAATTAAAAAAAAATGCTTGTAATATACAAGAAGACAAATAATAATATTACTAACTATAATGATGAACAATAAATGGAATATATTAAGCATTGCAGAACAATAACAAAAACAAATAAATTAACGAAAATGCGTATAATGTCTTTCAAATATATAACAATATTTTCAAATTATTTCTTTTGATTAATTATTGGCTCTTGGCCTTTTTGGCAGCAGCTTTATCTCTCAAAGCCAACTGTTGTTTAATGAAAATGTTGCCCACAAATTTTTCCCCAAGAAGCTTCATACATGTCAACTGGAAGAATTTTTGAAAGTTAAATTGATAACAGTTAATTTATTAACAAAAGTGTTAGTTAAGTTTATAAAGTTATTTTGTAAACTTACTTTTGATGTTTAAACATCATCAAATTATAAAATAAATTCATGACAAAACAAAAAAAAACACCTAAAATAAATCAAAACTAAACAAAGAATATAAGTATAATCAAAACAGCAAGAATAATGTACACATAAATCCAATAACTAAAGCAGCCAGCATTAAAAAACCCCAATCCATTCAGCAAGACACTGACCATCAACTCATGACTGAAGTGCCCAGTAACATCTGAATGCAAACCAGCAGTCGAGAGAGCAGATGATGCAAACTTATCTGCACCGGGAACCATGAAGGAAGCTTTCTTTATTTTGGACATCTTTGTTGCCACAAAACCAGGAGATACACACTTTTTATGGAAAATAAACTTAGTTAAATCCGAGAATTATTTAAATTCAAAATAATTTATTAACAAAAAAATTTCATTTTATAACTCTTCACTTAGGAAGTTGGTGTCATCTAAACAGTTCATTTAGTATTTCAAAATAATTAAACAAAATTTATTAAGAGACCTGTACAATGATGCCGTTTGATTTGTATTCAGCCTCAACACATTTACTAAACAAACGCACAAAAGCCTTTGAAAAAATTTAAAATAATAGTGATTAAACATACATGTGTAAAATATTAATGATTAAATAGATATATGTGACCAAATAAAATATCTTATAATAAACAAAATTTCACGAAACACTTCAAAAAACAATCAGATAAATGAGAGAATGAAACCTATTGAATAAAAAAATGACTTCAAAATACTTTTATTCACTAAGTAAGAAAAAGTTACAGACAAACTTCCATGATAAACTAAGCAACCTTAGTAGCAGCGTAAGTAGCAAGCAGAGGGGTGGATTGGTGAGCAGACAATGAAGATATGTTGATGATCAGGCCTTTCTTCTTCTCAACCATTTGAGCTAGGACAAGTTTTGTCATCTGTGGGATAAATGATAATTTATTATTACAATTTAATATAATTAATATAATTTAATAATGAGTTTTTTATTGAATGATAAATTTGTTAATTTGCAAAAAAAAAAATCTAAAATCTTACAAAGACTACAGAGAAACAGTTGATGTTAACCATATTCTCTAGATCCTAAAATTGGAAAAAAAATTAAAATGTTTAGATGTGAATGAAGATAACGATTATTATCAATAATTTTAAAAAATATCAATTAACCATCACCGACCTTGTCATTGCATTCAAGCAAGAATTCAGGATGGTTGTGGGACATACCTACATTGTTCACTGAGTAAAAATATAGAAAGTTATATTGTATAAAACTAAAAAAAAAATATTTGAAATAATTATACAGAATACAGCCACAGAGTAAAACACACTCACCAAGAACACCAATATCAAGTCCTTTCAATTCATCTCCAATCTTTTTATACATTGACAAGTCCAGGCTAAAATCAACAGCTAAGCATTTCATATCAATGGAGCTGTATTTTCCTTCTGCAACCAAATTGTTATAAAACTAATTTAAAAAAAAAGTTTAAACAATTTTTTTTTATGATTAAAATAAAATCATAAGAAAATAAGAAAACCTTAACACATACATACAAACACGTACACACACACACACACATACTAATTTCATTGGCCACAGTCTTGAGTTTTTCAGGAGAGCGACTTATCAGAACGATGTTCATCCCTTTCTTGGCCAACAACTCTGCATATGATTTGCCAATTCCATCAGTGGAGCCAGTAACAACTGTAATTATATTATAATAAATAATAATTTTATAATAATTTAAAATGAATATCTTTCAAAAATCTTCAGCTATTTATAACTAAAAGGATCTTGTTGTTTTTTTATTGACCAGTTAAAATATTATTTAATACAATTAATATTACTTAGTAAAAAACATAAAAGTTAATGTTAAATTATTATACTTTTTTAATTTTAAAAATTAAACAGCAATATACCTTATCACATCATATTATGATTATCTGCCTTCTCATTTCATTAAATTAAATTAAATTTATTCCAATTCTGGCTTGTTTTAGCTTATTGCGATTTTGTCAAAAATGGTTTAAAAATGATTTAATAGTAAAAAGTAAAAATGAACGCCGACCAGCCCAGGATCCGAGTTTCTTCATGTCAAGACCTAGGCCAAGAGTGGGCGATAAGAAGTAAAGTTTGAAGTTGTACCATACAAAACTAAGAAGCCTGCCGGCCAGGTAGATTACGTACAATTTGCCGATTAGAGAAAACCAGAAACAATTTTTCGTGAAGAAAGACGAAATACAGGAAAATATTTCAGACGACATTATCCTTCCAGAGATATTTAAAATTTTATAACACCAGCAAACGAAGCAAAGTAATGATAGAAGACAGAATCTCGATCAAAAATACCAGGCACGATCAAACTGGTACAAAATTTAACCAATCGTTGCATTATTGTTACATGATAGTTAATTTGTACATATTTTAAAAATTTTTACAGTTTTAAAAGCCAAAAATGTACTAAAATAATGGTTTTTTTCAAGGTATTATAAGATATGGTTCATCACAGCAAAGAATTAATAAAAAATTTTGACTTGTTGTTTCCATATAACTGTTGTTTCTTTGAAATTTTTTTACACGTGAATGTATTGGTTATCAATATTGTTTATTATCGTCCAATAAACAGTTTGCTGCCAAAACTCTGTTAAAAAATGGATCAAATTAATGAAAATAAAAAACCTCATCGGAAGAAACAGGCCGGGGCCAAGCTGAACAAAAAGAAAAATACAAAAAAAGAAGATGTAGTAAAACCAAAAAATGTGAAAGCTTTTGCTTTCCACTCCATAAAAAAAGCTGAAAGAGCAGTGAGAAGGTAAAGAAAGTAACTTAATTTCATAATTTTATTTAATTTTAGTTGATATTTATTTAATTTTAATTAAAACTTGAGTAAATTTAATTCTGTAAATTCGAGTAAATCTACAACAAATTTGAAATTTGTTTGGCAACAATATTTTTATTTAAGACTTTTGAAGACTTAATTAATTAAACTTAAATTTTAAGTTTAATTAAAAAATTGTGAACAGAACTGCAGATTTTAAAGAAAAGAAGTTTCATAATCCGGTTGTTGATCGATCGAGTGTCGTTCCACCCCCAATCGTCGTAGCCGTTGTTGGACCCCCTAAAGTCGGGAAAACCACTTTAATTAAATGCTTAGTGAAAAACTTTTTAAAAAGAAAAATCACTACCATTAACGGGCCTGTGTCCATTGTTTCAAGTGAGTTTTAAAATAACTAATTGTTTTTTATGACATAGTATTTGTTGTAATACTATTCAATTCAAAAATAGCTTTATTCAGTAAAATAACAACAGTTTTTCGCTAGGAGACCCGAAGTATCAACTTGTAGGGCCACCTATACACTAATTATAATTATAAAACATTTTCGAGTAATATGAAAATTAAGACAATAAAACTAAATGGTCGAGTTGCTATATTAAAAATTAATCAAGAAAAGTAATTTGAACGAACCAATTTGTTAATTATAGTTTTATAAGAACATAGAGTCAATGAATTCTTAGCATATATTGGCAGTAAATCCCAAAGATAGTACTGAATTTATATGAAAATTTGACCTGGGTTTAGAAAAATAAAAATCAGAATTATATCTCAAGGATCGAGTATTATGGTTCTTAAATATGATAATTTGCTTATGAAGTAACGGACAAAAATTAAGTTTATATAATTTAAAAAAAAATTAAACTAGACTGCAGTTTTTTTTGTTTTATTAAATAATTAATGCTGCATTGCATTATTAATACAATGCATGTCTAGACTGCAGTTTTTTTTGTTTTACGTAACAGTATTGCAAATAACTATGGCACTAATGATCTGTCTTTAAGAATTCTTTTTCATTATTTTAAATTTAAAAGTTATTTTGCTGGTGTTTTTCATAATAATGGAAAAATATATATGTGTGTTTGTGTGGGCATGGGCATATGTGTGTATTGTGTTTGTGTGCATGCATATGAGTGTGTAATCCTGTAACACATACTTAATCTACCCAATTATTTTGCTCAGGCAAGAAACAACGGCTGACCTTCTTAGAGTGCAACAATGATTTCAACTCAATGATTGACATCTCCAAAGTTGCAGACCTGGTGAATTACTTATTTCATTCATTTTATTTATGACTTTAATTTTTCTTCTTGTTATTTTTCCAGTGATTCATTCTCATTTTTTAGCTATTGATAATAAACATTACACAATTCAAAGTGGTTTCTACAGTTTATGGTGATTAAACTTTTTCTAAGGTTCTTAAATTTTAAATATCTTCTTAATATATAAAATGTTACTGATGATAAGGATGATTTTTTTGGTGAAATAACGCCTATTGATCAATTCGAACTATGAAAAATAATTACTTCTCAAAAAATTCAAAATGGAATTTACCATTTTGATTTTTTATTATCCCTTAATTTTTTTCCAGGTGCTGTTGATGGTCGATGCCAGTTTTGGCTTTGAGATGGAGATCTTCGAGTTTCTACACATAAGCAAGGTGCACGGTGAGATGAAGATCATCGGAGTTCTCACTCATCTCGACTCGTTTGGTAATAATAAAAGGTTGAAAAAGACAAAAAAGATCCTAAAAAATAGGTTCTGGAAGGATGTCTATCCAGTTAGTTCCACTCTTAAACATTTTTGTGATCATTTTCTCTGTTTTTTTATTTAACACTTTAATATTTGTAGTTACATTTTTGTATGCCGTTACTTACAAATATATCTCGTAATTGACATTTTATATTTTTTAGTTCCATTTTTGTATGTTGTTACTCCAATAGTATTCCTTATACACTAATTAATAAATGAACGAACGAACAAATGAACAAACAAATGAACAAATGTTTATTTGCAGGGCGCCAAACTGTTTTACCTATCTGGTATAGTAAATGAAGAATACCAAAAAATGGAAATCCACAATCTAGGTCGATTCATCAGCGTCATGAAGTATCGGCCACTTCAGTGGAGGTCCTCACATCCGTATGTCCTTGTCGACAGGTTTGTATATCGGCCATCTTCTTTGTTTATTCACTGATTTTGCAGTTTTTTTTTGGATATTTATGAATTGATACATTATATGTTTGTACACTGTATGTATATGTTTGTATATTATATGTTCATTCATTTAAGTGCATTTCACAACTGCATATAATCGACACTCATTTTCAAAATATATCCATCCTTCCATTATTGCAACCACAAGAATTGAAGATGTGACTGATCCGGAATTAATTCGACAAAATAATAAATCCGATCGAACTGTTTGCTTCTATGGCTACGTGAGAGGCACACACTTTAAAAACAAAACCAGCGTTCACCTAGCTGGTTAGAAAAAATTTTCTATTTTCATATTTTTTCCATTTTTTAAAATTTATCCTCGATTGATTCTTCTTATGCTTTGGTATTTTTAGTTTATTTTGGCATTTGTAAATATATATTTTTTAAGATGATAATCTCTAGTTTGAAATAAAAGGATTTTAAAACGCTATATAAAATAATTTACTTACCTATTCCATTCAGGTTTAGGTGACTTCACAATTGATGACATGAGCTATCTAAACGATCCATGCTCATTCCCCGACGAGTTGAAGAAACGATCTCTCGATGATCGAGAACGACTCATCTATGCCCCGATGTCTGGCGTTGGTGGTGTCCTCTTTGATAAGGATGCTGTTTACATAGAAACTAAAGGAATTAATTTGATGAGTGATAAAAAGGTTTTGTTTTGTCATCTATTCTCTGTATGTCTGCGTGTGTGTGTCTTTTTTGTGTGTGTGTGCGCGTGTGTGCTATTTGTGAGTTATTTCTTGATGGGTTTTGGGTGAGGTTGTTTGAAAATTAAATTCAAAACTCGAACTCTATGCTATGTCTTATTCACAGTTATTCTTTATTCCAATGACGGTTAATATATTTATTTAATAAGGTTTAAATTTGTTTTTTTCCTAATAATGTAATTAAATTAAGTTAATTATATAATCAGAGAAAATGAACTAAGTTTATTTAACAATCTAATTAAAATAATCTAATTAGATAACGTAATTAAAATATAAATTCACTTTTAGAGGTCTGGTGATAAGGAAAAGATGCTGGAGACTCTGAAGAACATGCAGACGACGATCGACGGCAAAATGGCGGCCGGGAATTTCCAACTCTTTAGTAACCAAGAGGAGGGAGATGATGACGGCGATGAAGATGGTAACGACGAAGAAGAAGATGATGATGGTAGTGAAGATGGGAAAGACGATGATGAAAACGAGAGAGATGGGAGGGAAGAAGTGGAAGGTGATATGGATGTAGATGGCAATGAAAATCTAAGTGAACCTTGGAAGCTGAAAACTGGTCTTGAAGAAAATGATGATGACGATGATGATGACGACATGGAAGGTGATGATGATGATGAAGATGAAGAAGAAGCTTTGGATGATGAGGAAGAGGAGGAAGATGATGATGTAGATATGAGTGAAGATGATCATGAAAATGTTGATGGTTAGTTATTCATACATTAATTTACTCAAACTACCGTTCATTCACTCATATATTTATTCATTCATTCTTTGTTTCATTCATTCGCTCATTCATTCATTCATTCATTCATTCATTCATTTGTTTATTCACTATTTTTAATCAAATTTAATTTATACTTTTTTTTAATTATGTAGCTTTTAATTTTATATGGCTTTGACATTAATTATTGAAGGGGCTCTGAAATGGAAAGTGAAACTGAGAGAAAAGGGAAACTCTTCGTTTTTGGAAAGATTAAAAAATATCAACAACATTCAATCTTTTGTCTATGGGACAGGTAACTACATTGTATTATCATTCAATAAATTTTTGATTATTATATTTTGGCATGCATGCATACATACGGACGTACATACATTTTATACACACGTATACATAAATACACACACACATAAAAACACACACACACGCATACATTCGTTTAACACTATTACTAATACACCGAAAATAATACCAATATTGTGTAATAATTTTTGTTAAATTCTTTTCAAACTTCATTTAGAAATTATGAATTTACACGATGACAAATCAACGAATGATTCTGAGGAGCAGGAAAAGGAAACTTACGAAGGAAAAGATAATAAAAATAATGATAACAAAATAAAAATAAATGACGGCGGTGATGATTTTCTGGGCGGTTTCCTCAGTCTCTCAGATCACAACTCCAGATTTGGTTCCAATAAGTTATTCCACCAAGAGGAAACATCAAAACAATTATATGCCTTCTATGATTTCAACAAACTTGATGTCCAAGAGGTTATATTATTATTATTTTACGATGGTGACGATCTTGATGGTGTTGATGATTGTGATGATAATTAGGACGATGAGGGTGACGTATTATGATTGTTCATGACGATTGTGAGTTAGTGTGGTGATGATTAAGACGACGATGATTATATTTTCAAACAGCTGGTAGAGCGTGTGAAAGATTGCTTCGTCAGTGGAATGTGGGATGAAGATGAAGATGCTGAAACACTGCTCAAGAGAGATGCTGGTGAATATTATTATTATTTATTATTATTGTTGTTTTTGTTGATTTTACTATGTATATATTTAAGTATGTGTATGTTGGCTGATTTTTAGTTGGCATGCCTATGTTTAAAACGAACCTGACCAATTTTACAGAGAATAAAAAACGAAGTAATGAAGATGCCGATGATGGTGATGATGATGATGATGATGATGAAGATTTCTCCGGTGATGGTGATGACGACGATGAAAAAGCTGATGATGACGAAGACGATGATGATGATGGTGGTGGTGGTAATACGAAGGAAGAGGATGACGCAAATTATGGTTGGTCATTTGTATTTTGTTTTTCAAGTTCATCTTTATTTGTCTCTTTTGTTTATTCTCCATCTTTTCTATTTACAATCACGACTTCGAAAATACTCTACATGTACCACGGATATAAATCTTTATCATGTTGTACACCATTATCAATATACAATGGTGATTGGCTACATAAATTTACTATTAGATAATACATTAATACCTAAGTTCACTTTTAATCATTATACTTCCAGAGAGAGAGACCCCAGAGGAGAGGAGAGAACGCCGGATGAAAGCGAAATTGCTGGAGAGAAAGAGGAGGCAGAAGGAGATGTTCGACATGCTGTACGACGAGGGCAGACTCGATGGAAATGGAACTACTGCCGATAAGAACTACTTTGAAACTTTGAAGGAAGAGATGGCACAACAGGCGCAGGTTTCTGTTTTGTTGGTTGCTGTTTCATCCATATTTATGCAAATCCTAATTTATTTATTTATGCAAGTCCTAATTTATACATTTATGCAAATCCTAATTTATTTATTTATGCAAGTCCTAATTCATACATTTATGCAAATCCTAATTTATTTATTTATTTATGCAAATAAACCCAAAACAGTTGAACAGATCTGAATTTGAGTCTCTGCCAGAATCGGCTCGCGTTGAATTTGAGGGTTTCCGACCGGGCCTTTACGTACGCATGCAAATACGTAGCATACCCTGCGAATTCATCGAGTATTTCGACCCAACATACCCCATCGTCGTTGGAGGCCTGCTGACCTCAGAACAAAATATCGGATATGTGACTGTTTGTACATTTATTGTTTGTTTGTTTGTTGGGGTTTTTTTTTCACTGTTGTAGACTTTCATGTCGTTGCAGTTGTGTTTGGCTTGTGTTAGGTTTATTTAGATTTGATTTTTATAACTCTGAATGTGGTTAGCTCTGTAATAAGAATTACTTCATTTACTTGTTTGAGTTTTTATCAAAAAATTTGTATAAAAATTTTTCAAAGTAGTATAAATTCTTGAATTCCGACTTAGGTGAACTTCAAGAAACATCGTTGGCACAAGAAAGTCCTGAAGACAAATGATCCCGTTATCTTCTCGTTGGGATGGCGTCGATTCCAAACGATCCCTGTCTACTCCATCCAGGATCACAATGGCCGCAACCGACAGATTAAATACACGCCTAACCATCTTCATTGTCACGCTACTTTTTGGGGTAGGTGCTCTATCGCTGTTGTTGTTGTTGCTGTCTATCTATCTATCTATCTATCTATCTATCTATCTATCTATCTATCTATCTATCTATCTATCTATCTATCTATCTATCTATCTATCTATCTATCTATCTATCTATCTTTCTATCTTTCTGTCTATTTACCAGTCTGTTTCTCTATCTATCTCTATCCATATATCCATTCATATTTATTGCTGTATTTATGCGTGCATTTAAATTTAATTATTCGTCCAGGTCCAATAACGCCTCAGGGTAGTGGCATAGTAGCCATTGATTCATTAGCTAGTAATACAGTTAGTATCGTCATGCAGTAATTCAATCTACTTATCATAAATAAATTGTTAATTACATTATTAATTAATATAATTACTTTGAAATAATTATGGTTAATTATGAAATTTTAGAAAGAGTAAATAAATTGTTAATTATATTATTAATTAATATAATTACTTTGAAATAATTATGGTTAATTATGAAATTTTAGAAAGAGTTCAGGATATCTGGCACGGGTAACGTCTGTGAGATTGACAAGTCGTTCGCTATAGTTAAAAAGTTGAAACTGGTCGGGACGCCATTCCTAATTCATCAGAATACTGCGTTCATACAGGTTGGTGGCTGTTGTTGTTACTGCTGCTGCTGAAGCTGCGAATGTTGTTTTTGAAGTTAGTGATGGTGCTTTTGTTGCGCTGTAGTAGTAACTGTTTCAAAATGATGAGTATGACTATTTGGGAAGATCAAATGTTGTTTCATTACTTAGCTAATTGAAGGATGATTGGAAAATATCAGCTTAAAGTCATCATTCTTTACTGTTGTAATCATTATCTCATGGTCACTGTACACGTTGGCCAGGGCATGTTCAACTCATCACTGGAGGTTGCCAAATTTGAACTTGCGAGCATTCGAACGGTCAGTGGGATCAGAGGTCAAATAAAAAAGTCGATAAAAAATGGCGCCACCCTCTTGAAAAAGTTCAAGTCCAAGATGGCCGACCCTATTCTGCCGGGAGCGTTCAGGGCTACATTTGAGGATAAGATTCTTATGAGTGGTTAGTTGGCTGGCTGGTTGGCTGATGTTGCTTTTTGTTTGGATGATGTGGTAATGAATGTTTCACACAAACACACACACAGACATTGTCTTCATGAGAACTTGGTACAAAACATCGGTGGATCAGTTTTACAACCCCGTAACTAACTTACTGCTGAGCCAAGCGTCGAGGGATGCCTGGAGGGGCATGAAGACAGCTGGCCAGATTAGGAGGGAGAAAAATATCAAACGAGATGTTAACGAAGATAATCTTTACAAGGTTGTGTGGTGTGTGTAAGTGTGTTTTATTGTGTGGTCTGTGTGTGTCTTGTTCTGTGATGTATTGCTTTCATTATATACATAACTTATTTTTACATTTTCTTTTTAACTCACAATTTTATTTTCAACCTGTGGTTGAATGTATTTATATTGTTTTATTGTTTTGACCAACTCAACATTTAAAATTAATAAAACTTCGAACAAACAAACAAACAAACAACCAATCAATCAAGCAATTAACAAACCAACCAACCAATCAGTTAATCAATCCCCAATTTAACCAATCAGCCAATAGCAAGGCCGGTACGTGAATACAAGCCCCTTCAAATACCACGGGAGCTTCAGAGGCAATTACCATTCAGGCTGAAACCGAAAACAGAGGGGAAAACAGTGGGCGAAATTAAGAGGATTGCTGTTGTCAAGGAACCACATGAACGAAAGGTTTGTGATTGATTGATTGATTGATTGATTAGTTGATTGATTGGTTGATTGATTGATTGGTTGATTGATTGGTTGATTGATTGGTTGATGGCTGATGGTTGGTTGATGGATTGATAATTAGTTTGGTTGGTTGGCGAGATAAATTGGTTGTTAGGTGGATTGAGTGATTGGTTGGTTTGTTTTATTAGCGAGAAGACCCGAAGGCTATAATTAAGAGAGTTGCTGTCTTAAGTGTCGATTGGTTGATTGACAGATTGATGTAGGTATGGTTGATTTAAAATGATGATACGATATTAAGTTATATGATGTGGTGCAAACACACTTATACACCACACACAAACACACACGCGCGCACACACGTACACAGGTTTCGCAAATGATGAAACAACTGCAAGCCATTTATGACCAGAAAAGAAAGAATCAACGAGTTATAATGAGAGAAAGAGCCTCAAAGCATCGAAAAGAAATTATAAGTAAAAATAAAGCTAAAGCAGCAAAGAAAAAAAGATAACTGATTTGTTTCCATAATTTTTATTATTGTTAATTTTATTATTTATGGTAATGTTTGTTATTGATCGTCAAACTGTACAGTAAACTCGAAAATTACAACTAATATTCAGCAAATACATACATACGTACGTACGTGTAATACAAACGAGCATTTATTAGCAGTCATGTTTCTTGTTCTCATCTCTTCTTACTTCCTAACTTTTTATTAGTTTAGGTAGGTGTAAAATAGGTGAGCCTTGGCTTGAGTTAAATAAAAGTCTAGGAAAAAATTGATCGATCATAGGTTGGTATCTTAACTTCGATTTTTTTTCTATCTTTCGTGTTATAATAGGTTGGTATCTTCGAATTTTATTCTCCCCTTCGTGTTACGAGTTCATTTTTGTTATGTTTCTACACGCACTCAATACGCATGCGGTGAGCAGAAACAAACATGGTACTATGATATACTTCGATTTTGTCGGCGGATGAGATTGTGACTAATTTAAGAGACACCAAATGCATGTTTGTATGTGAACGAATGATAGATAAATGAATAGATGGATGGATGAATGAATGAACGAACGAACGAATACATGAATGAACTGTCTGGCGCACGTACTTTATGGCCAGACAAGGTCGTCAGCCAAAAAAAACATGTTAAAAAATTCTCCCTCCCAGTCAACGGGTCGAAAAATTTGCCATTTAAATACACATGCGACCCTTCAAAGATCAAATAGTTCTCAATGCAGCCCTTCAAAGGTTAAATAGTTTTCAATGCGGCCCTTCAAAAGTCAAATAGTTTTTAATGCGGCCCTCACAGCAAAAAGTTTGCCCACTCCTGATTTTCAAAGATGCATTTGCTAGTTGGAGTTACATACATAATACGAAAGCAATGTATTAGTTTATGTATTCGGAAAAACAAAAACTACAGAAATACAGTTTATAGGATAGATTATTTTAAAATAGTATATAAGTACATATAGTATGTATACATGTATATATAAAATACATATATGTTGTATATATATATGTACATAAGTGTAATAAAGTTTATAATGTATATTATGAAATGATTTGAAAGCTCTCGAACTTAAAATAGTGAATACGTCATTCCGTGAGTGTAGGTATATTTCTATGTGTGTGTTGCATGTTTTCGTGTGTGTGTGCGTGTGTGTTGTATATTTTGCATTGGTATTTGTTTTATAAATTTAACGGAGTCTAAAATAATTATTTTGAAGAAATTTCATGCTCCCCTAAACTTCCATTCATCCATCATCTTTATCTCATTCGTTGTAAAATATGTGCGTGTGTGTGTTTGTGTGTTAGCCTGTATGTTTGTGTGTTGGCCTGTATGTTTGTGTGTAAGCGTGTGACTGTACGTGAGTGTTTAACGATGCTAAAGTTGAGACTAATTCAGTGTACCTATGTAGGTAGGTTGGCAGGTGTATTATTTGATTGATTGCATAACTGATTGATCAAATGGTTCACTGATTAATTGATCGATTGGTTGGTTGTTTAATTGGTTGATTAATTGGTTGGTTGATTGATTGATTAATTCGTTGATTGATTGATTGATCAATTCGTTTCGTTTAACAGCGTAGCATGCAAGGTTAAAATGACGAAAAAAATAGAAATTCGAAATGCATATAATACAATAGAGCAGCACATTTAATCCGTCATAGTGACGTCATTTCTTAACGAAATCCAAAAAATGAAAAACGAGTGTGCGTGTGTGTGTTTGTGTGCGTGTGTGTGTATTATATAACTCTGTTACAATAATAATAATAATAATGTGTTTATTAATGAAAATTTAACGAAATCTTATTAATAAATGAATGAAAGATTATGTGAACTGTACTCAATTTTTTCAAAAATGAAGTGAAATAAAATTGATTGACACTGTATTCGTGAAATCAATTAATTAAAATATTAATTACACAACTAATTTAGTAACTTAGTAAAGCTAATTAATTGGATTATTAATTATGTATGCCTACTTATCAAAGCTAAAAAAACTTTTTATTAAATGATCAAGATACATAAAACAAAGTAATTAAATAAATGATCAATCAATCAATTAATTAATTGATTTAATCAATCGACTGATTGATTGAATAAGTTAATGAATTACTGAACGTATGAATGAATGAATGAAACATCTTTCTGGATGAATAAAATCGAATTAAGCGCGACAAATAGTGACAAATAATTAGCGACGGAAAGTTTTGTAATAGAAAAATCTGATTTAACGTAATTTGATTAAGACGTCTCTAGGTAAATTATAATCAATTATTTTATAATTGGTTATGTGATTTCATTATATATATATATATATATATATATATATATATATATATATAATATATAACAATAATAATAACGTCAACAAAGAATGAAAAAAAAAACTTTTTGATTCATTTATCAACGTGCGTTAACTTCATTGATTAACAACTAATTAATAATAATAATAATAATAATAATAATAATAATAATAATAATAATAATAATAATAGAACAACAACAATATATAATAATAATAATAAATTAGATAACCCTTTTTATTGCAAACGTAGCAAAAAGGGCGAAAATTTGTTTATCTTCTGTGAAGAACAAAAGAACGAACGGACGATCAGATGAACGTATGACAAACACAATAATAATAATAATATTAATAATAATAATAGTAACATTAATACTAATAATAAATTTGTTATATTAATCAATATGCCTTTTTTGAATGAATGAATGAACATTGAAAACAACAAATTAAACAAAAAATGCAGGCATAAGTAGTATATTAAACGTAAGCATGCAAGTATGTGTGCTTGTATGTGTATTTGTATGTATGTGTGTGCGTGTGTGTGCGTGCGTGCGTATGTGTTATTTACAATTAATCATTGAGGTTTGTATTATGCTAACACAACATATAATAAAAACGTTATCATGGACTGTTTGGCTGAGACAAAAAATTAGTTTAAAACTAGAATAAAATGAATTTAATTAAAAAATTTAATTATCTAGTTAATTAATTAGAATGACGATAACGATTCTAAATATGATAAAAGTTTAATATAACTCCTATATACAATATCAACAATTATATATATAAATATATATATATACACATACATTATAAATAAATATATATATATATATATATATATATATTATGATATATTCATAATGTGTGTGTGTGTGTGTGTGTTTGTTTGCATGTATGTGTTTGTTTGTTTGTGTGTGTGCTTGTTCATATATATTACTGATGATTATGGAAGTATGTATGATTAAAAGTTAACTGAGATTCAAAACTTGACTAAAATTAGCACATGGTTATTACAGAGTGACATCAATAATGATAAGTAGTAGTAGTATAACATTAACCATTACAACGATAATAATACTTGAATAGTAACAGTTATATATATATATATATATATATATATATATATTTATATATTTATATATACATATATATATCACGATAATACTAATTATAATAATAATTATTATTATTATTATTATTATTATTATATTACGTATACCGTTTTATTCCTATCATAAATTTATCTAAAATGTTTGAAAAAACTCATAAGGCTTCCGTACAACACTGTTCTGTCGGCCAATCAAAACGGGGGTCAATAAAATGAAACGCCAATCAGAGCAGACGTATGCAGGCCTTGTAGACGAGGCCCTCCTGGCCAGCATGACGACAGAGGTAAAGGTCATGACCTACGTCCTTGACCACGAGCAACGGCAGATCTTTCTCGAAGCTCAGAAACTGTTTGTCCATTGCGACGTAGTGGCATAAGGTGTGCGCTGCCCTGTTTGGAAGTAATAATAATAATTATTATTTTTATTATTATAATAATAATATTAATAATAATTATTATTATTATCAACCATCATCATCATCGTCGTCATCATCGTCGTCATCATCATCATCACTATCATAACTCTCTCTCTCTCAAAAGTTCTCCTTTGAAATAAATAAGCTGTTTATTCCATCTGTCTTAATTAAAAAACTGGCTAACCAAATGTTAACTTTAAAATAGAAACAACACAACAACACACACACACACACACACACACACACACACACACACACACACACACACACACACACACACACATATATATATATATATATATATATATAGTATATATACATACATACATTATTATTATTTTCAATATTATTCATACTATTGTAATCATCATCATCGTCGTCATGACAGCAGTCACAAATAAGACAAGTTTAGTTTTTTTGAAGAGAAGTTAAAAAAAGACATATATACACACATACAAACATCTGTTGTCCATTAAAAAAATGTGTGTGAGTGTGTTTATGTGTGTGCGTGACTGTGTGTTTATGTGTGTGTGTATGTGTGTTTATGTGTGTATGTGTTTGTGTGTGTTTGTTTGTTTCTGGCATTTTATTCAATCAAGTAAACCTGTGTTTGAGTTGGCATCGTTCCAGAAATTTCCTACCAACATTACTGCCTCCTTTGCCCTGTACACTTACAGAGCTGGCCAAAACATTAGAACGTTGTAAACTCTGGTTGCATCTATCGACATTGATTTGTTCTTGCGAGTGGAATTGCTTCGGCGCACATTCGTCCATTTTGTCCTCAACTCTACCGGCGTTCGATAACAAGAGCTTATCAAACAAATTCACCAGCTTATGTCCATAGGAACTAAGGGACGCTGACGACGATGATGACGACGACGATGATGACATTCTGATTATTGGTGTTGATGATGATGTCTGTTTACGGAAGTTGTTGTTTGATGATGATGATGATGGTGATGATGATGATGGTGGCGATGTGAGTGGAGATAATAAATGGGATGGTCTTGCAGTGAAAGGTGGTTTTGTGTTTGTTGTTTGAATAGGATTGTTGTTAGGTGAGGTGTTGTTGTTGTTGATGTTGTTGTTGTTGATGACGTTGCTGTTGTTGTTGATGATGTTGTTGTTGTTGTTGATGTTGTTGTTGTTGACGTTGTTTTTGTTGCTAGGAGAAGGCGGCGATGGTGTCAGAGCATGTAGTTGTCGTTGTGTCATTCGCGTTGACGTGTCCACGGGATTGTACAGTTGCGAATGAAAGTGTTGCTGGCTATCCTGTTGATGTTGTTGCTGCTGCTGTTGGAACTGGTCGTCAACGGTTTGAGTAGACTTCTCGCAGGAATTAATACTGATGCCAAAGTGTTGCATCAGCCTGTATAGACTGCCATCTGGCGACATAACACTTTTGCCACCGCTGTACAATTTCTCGGCCAGTTTGTTCTGCGTCTTTTGGAGGAAGTTTTTTGTGAAACTTTCAAAACTGGCCGACGACCAGAACAGCGATGAATTTTCATCCAAACTTTCCAAGTTCCTCCTATATTTTCCATCAAGGCATAGGGAATGAGTGGGGTTTTTCAGAATGTAGTTGCCGTAAGCGTTGTTGTGGGTGTTATTGTGGATGTGGAGCGAGCTAGAAACGACGTGATTGGTTGAATCCAACGATGACGTATGCTTCAGCGTGCCCATCCTGACGCGATGCTGATGGCTGTGGTAATGATGATTGCCGTGGTAGTTAGTCGTATCGGTGGTTGCGTCATTTGACATGGCGACGTGCTTGTTTAGAAGTTGCTCCGCGATGAAGTTCTGTCGGCGGCGTTCGATCACCCTCACTTCGTAATCGTACTCCAAGCAGAACTGATAGTGCGAGAGGTTCTGTAATGACGTCATCACCTCGCTGAACAGCGACGAACACGCCATCTCCACGCTAGCTCTCTTGCCGGAGTTAAACTTGGAATTGATGACGTCATCGTTAATGTTCGTCGCCAGATTACAGCTACCGCTAAGTCGCAGCGGGTCATTAATCTTTACCTGACTATTATTACTATTATTATTGTTATTATTAATATTATTATTGTTATTATTATTATTGCCATTGTAGCCATCGGCAAAAGCCACCAAATGTAGAAAAGCAGATGGATTGTAATATCTGTGCACTAGGAATTTGTTCTGTAGCAGGCTGCATAACCAGACGTCCAGTAATTTTAAACTGAAAATTATGAATAATAATACAAATAATAATAACAAATTATAATAAGTAATAATATTATAATATAACCTAGAATAATAATGTAATAATAATATTGAGATGGATCAGTTGGATCATATATCAAACTATTTACGCGCACTTGTATATATTTTTTGAAAAAATTCCATCTACATAAATAATTATTATTATTATTATAATCATCATCATAATTATACTATAATAATAATTAGCTACAATAATAATAATAATAATTATTATTATTATTATTATCATCATAATAAAAAAACGTATTACTTGAGCAGAGCAAATAGATAGGAATTGAACTTGAGCCACTGACTGTTCAGGAACTTGAGGTCTTTCATGAGTTTCGGCAGGTTCGCCAGGACTTCCAGTGACTGACCTTTTGGAGAATAATACTAATATTAATAAGAAGAAAAAGACTATAAATAATAATATAAATAAAATTAATAATAAAGAAGAGAGAAAAAATTTTAAAAAAATTATAAAACGAATAATTAAAATGTTTAATTATTCTTTCTTATTAAATACGCAGGCACCACCATCGACAGAGTCCTCAAAAATCTTGCAGGCTGAACTCTTGACCCTTCCAAATAGGGAGGGTACCGTATGTTTGACCCCGTCCAACATGAGGGCATGGATGGATGGGCAGAGGTGGTCCAATAGGAGAGCACCAATTTTTTGGTCGCTCCTCGTACTACAACGTTTCAACTTTTGGAGCATAATTTATGTTAATTTATTGACATTTGGTCATTTTAACGTTAGTTACATCCTTTAATTAATTAATAATGTTAATTTATCACAATTTGGCCATTTTAACTTAACGTAAGTTGTGTAATTAATTAATTAATTTATGTTAATTTGTGTGTGTGAGTGTAGTATGTGTGTGTGTGTGTGCATGTGTGTGTATCTTAATTATAAGCAAGAAAGGATCAGAAAGACGTAATGATGTACATACAGCCGAAAAAAGGTTTAAAGGTCTCTTAAAAAAGTTATTTATAACATAAGAAGAAACCATAATGAGGGAGAAATTTAAATTTAAAGAAGAAAATAAGAAAATGTATATTAGATGATATGTGTATATCTGTGTGTGTGTGTGTGTGTGTGTGTGTGTGTGTGTGTGTGTGTGTGTGTGTGTGTACGTGTGCGTGATTTGAAAAAGTTCTTTATAGCACCTTTTCCAAATGATCAGATGATGAATTGATATATTTCAAAATCAAGTTGACCGACTTAATTATTTCCAGCGCTAAATCTATAAATTAAGTTTAATGAAATTTATGAATTTATCATAATCAACACGCAGGCGCACACACGCACGCACACACACCACACACACTTAAAACGTATCATTCCTAGATAATAGCGATCATGGTAGCGTATGTTTAAAATATCCTTTGATCATCAGCATCATGAATATAAAAGAATTTTTCCATCCATCCTTTCTATCACTACTGCTTCTTCTTCTTCCACTACTACTACTACTGCTGCTGCTGCTGCTACTACTGCTACTACTACTGCTATTAATAAAAACAATAATAAATACTACTAACACCGTACCACATAACCAAGTTATTATCAACACATGGCATTAACACGAAACACAAAATCACTACCACACAAAGTTATCATTATTGAGACCTTTCTTCAGTAGCATATCGTAGTTGAGCGATTGAGTGAGCGAAGCGGCATCGTCGACGTCAGACGACGAGAGAGATGATGATGGAGAGAGATTAGGAGAGATGAGGAATTCGGAAGGGGCAACTTCCAGTTCTAAGGGGTCTGTCGTCATTAGATTGACATCTGTGGGCCACCCACCCCCGTGTTATTATTATTTTTATTATTATTATTTGTATTTATACTGTTTCTGTTATTATTATTATTATTATTATTATTATTATTATTATTATTATTATTATTATTATTATTAAGTAGTTGAAATGTTATCCGCGCATGCACTGAGAACTATTGATCTGCTACAATGATTATTTTGATTGTAATCATATGGGCCAGAAAATAATTTAGTACGCGCCCAACTTATTCCTATATTTGTTCCTTCATGCATTCATTCATTCATTCATGCATTCATTCATCATTTATTCATTCATTCATTAATTAATTCATTCGTTCATTCATTCATTCGTTCACTCATTCATGCATACTTTTATTCATACATTCATTACTAGCTGTGATAATCTAATCTTATAAAAAACCCACCTGACTCTAAATCTTCAATAACGATTTCAGGCGATTCGGCTGTTGCTACTGCCGCTGCCACTCCTGCTGCTGCTGATGATGAATTTTCCAGTGATGATGATGATACCTGATGATTTAGTGGTGATGATGATGATGATGGCGACAGAAGGGTGTTAGCGGGTGAAATGGTGAGCGGAGATTTGGGTGATTCGTTGGGACTAGGCGAGGAAGGAGTGGGAGTTGGGTGATGGTAGGAGATTTTTTCTGAGAAGCTGACACTCTTCTTTGCTCTGAATCTGTCGCAATCCTGTTCCGTTGTCGTCGATGTGATCACCATCATCATGTCACTCACCACATCGTCGTCGTCGTCATCACCGTCGTTCATTTTGCAATTTTCGTTTGGTTTGAGGCCTTGCAGATGAGAGTCGGCAAGTTGTTCTTGCTGTTGTTGTTGAGTTTGTTGTTGTTGTTGTTGTTGATGATTTTGCTGAGGTTGTTGGTGTTTTTGTAGATCTGTGACCGCAAGTTCTAGCAAGCTACCATCCGGCACGGACAATGGTCTTTTCTTAATGAGTGGCTGTTGTTGTTGTTGCTGCTGCTGTTGCTGCTGTTTGGCGCTGTTGAAATTTGTTGACCACGATCGTCTGCCGTCTGTACTTCGATTTTTGACTAAAATTGATTTGCCCGGTTTTGTGGTAGAGGTTGTAGTTGCGGTTGGAGTGTTAATGTTATTTCTCAATGTATTTCTTGTATTGTTTGTTTTGTTGTTGTTGTTGCTGTTGTTTACTGAACTGTTGTTAGGTGCGCTGTTGCTGCTGCTGTTGTTGGTTTCTATTTTCAGTGACAACTTTTTTGCTTGCAGGTTATTTTTTGACGATGAACTTTGATTTTTTTTGCTGCTGGATAACTTTGCGAATGTTGTTGCTGGTGGAGTGACTGATGTTGATGTGGACGTCTGCTGGGCTACAGCGTTCGCAGGGTTCGCAGGGTCAAATCTCTTCAAATCTTTCTCACCATCAGTCAGCGAAAACTTGGATGTTGTCTTCAGAAGTCGTGGAGGTTTCGGTGGTGACGAGGAAGGAGAGGAAGAGGAGGAAGAGAATGTATCCAGAGATTGCAAACTGGTACCTCGGTTTGAGTTAACTTTATTCAACGACAAACTTTTTGAACTACTTACAGCCACAATTTCGCCAACACCGACGCTATTTTTTTGATCGCTGTTCACCGCAACTGCAGCCGATGCCGTCTTATCATACGCCGTACCACCGGCGTAATAATCAGAGGCTGAACTTTCATCCTTAGAGCTTCCTGAACTGGACTGTCTCGTTGATGAGTCAGTGTTCCCGGCTTCGATCCCAGACGACGTCGAACTATTGAATGAATAACATTCATAACTTTTTGTTGTTTTAGTCGTCGTTGTGGTTGTCGTTTTTGTAGTTGTGGCTGTCGTTGTTGATGATGATATAATGTCATGGATGTCGTTGATTTTATTATTTTCAGGATTGTTTTCAGGATTGTTGTTTCTACTGATTTGCGGGGATTTGTGGGGACTGCACTTACCGTGCTTTGGACTGCAACTGTTGTTGTTGCTGCTGCTGCTGTTGTTGTTGTTGGATTTCTTCATTTGAGCAGCTGATGATTCTTTTGCTATCTTCAACGATTTGCTGTTAACACCTTCAGAAAACTTCACTGGCTGCTTGTTGTTGAGGAAACTCAGATCTGGAAGAGGTTTTGAGAATAAGTATGAGCTAGAAGTTACGATGTCTTTGCTGGGCGGATCTGACTTGTATGCATTCGTTGTTGCAGTTTTCAATGAAGATGGCGTCGTTGTAGATGTCAGTTGTGGCGATGTTGTTGCGATTGTGGACATTGTCGTTGTTGTGGTGGCGGTGGTGGTTGCTGTGTGTGGAGTTGTTGTGTCGCTACTGCTTGTCAGCGATGTTTGCAGCGATTTGTTGCAGGTTTGTTTGGGGATGTTGAAGAGAAGTGAGGTCTGGACGCTGGAATCAGTGGATGCACTGGTCAGTGTTGATCTGTTATTACTGTTGCTGTTGTTGTTGTTTAGTTGGTCATCACCGTCATCATCATGGTAATGTATGCAGTTACATTCTGTCGAGTTCGAACGCTTGTTGTGCTTTCTGCTCTGAACGTTCATCTTTTTGGGTGTCGTTTGAGAATGAAAGTTATTTTGAATGTTGTTGTTGTTGTTCAGATAGTTGAATACGTTGTTGTCGCTGCAGTACACTGTGTCGTTGTCGAAAACATTATCAACCATTTTTTGCGCGTGTTCGCATTCTGTTTCTTTCAGCTTCTTATCCTGAAATATTTTAAATAGTTCAACTTTAGAAGTCGTTCGTTTGAGATTATCTATGTCAGGTTCCTGTCGGTTGTCCTGCTTGTTTCTATAACCATCAACACCTTTATCATCATCAGACGTTGTTGCGTTCGTCTTTCTTGACGTTGTTGTTGTTGTTGGTGGTGGTGGTTCCGGCGTTGTAGCAACGACAATTTTTTCAGAGGTTTTTGATGGAGTTGTTGATGTCGCAAAATTTATTTCTGTAGTAGATAAATTTTTAACGCTGTTTGACTTCTGTATAGTCTTCCACGTTGTTCTGTAACTAGAACTTTTTACCTGCTGCTGCTGTTGTTGTTGTGGATTTCTGATGGAACTCCATGTTACTTGTTTAGTTTCAGCATCTCTGCATTCGATGCCATTTTTATTGTTGTTGTTGTTGTTGTTGTTGCTATTGTAAATGTTAGCATTTTTGCTGTTGTTGTTGTTGTTGTTGTTGTGGTGGTGGTGGAGGTTTGTTTTTATTTTTCTCCTATGACTCCTTGTTTCAGGTGAAGGTTTGTTTGCGTTGTTGTTGCCGTTATTCCGGTTAATGGAGTATTTGCTATTTGAGTTGTTGTTGTTGTTGTTGTTGTTGTTGTAGTGGACGTCGTTGATGACGTTGTAGTGGTTCCAACAGGGCCCGCTCTCGTCGCCACTCGACCAAATTTTTGGTGAGCCCCTATCAAAGGAGATCTTGTAATTTCGTTTGATGTAGCTGGATGGAGGTCGTTTAACGACGGAAGGAACGACGGCGTCATCTCTATCACATTGATGTCTTTTTCTGCTGTTGACGTCACCTTCGATTATGGCGTCATCGTCGTCGTCATTATTTCCGGCGCCATTCATCTCATCGATCGTAAACTCATCCGGGCATTCGCTGTGAGAGGAGAAGAGAGGTCGGTTGAGAAAAGTTGAGCTGTCGGATGAACTCTCCATCTCGCTAATGAGTTCGTTGTCGGTATCAGAGTTGTCGTACTCGTGATCTTCGTCGTTGTTGGTATCTGCAACTTGGTCGCCATCGCAGTCGTGATGTCTCGATAGGCAATCGTCCGACTTTGATGACGTCATTCTCTTTGGCATTTTCAAACTCCGAAAGTTTAAAATTTCGTTCTTATTCCGGTTGAATTCTTCCGACTGCCTGTTGCCGCTTCTTGTGAGGTTGGCGTCAAACTGGATGGAGAATTCGTCGTCGTAGAAGAAGTCGTTGCTGTTTGTTCCATCCGCGAAGAAATTGATTTTCGGCATCGGCGAGAGTGGCGAATCTTGGTAATTTGCAGCTGTTGTAGCGGCTGCTGTTTTGACGTTGTTCATTGGTTTTGTTGTCGTGGCCGTTGCTGCTGGTGCTGGAGTGTCAAGTTTTGTGGTGTTTGCAGGAATCATGTTTCTCGCATCTGTATCTGCTTCTTCTTCCTCCTCTACATCAATTCCTCTTGAATGTCGGGCTGGTGGAGATTTACCTATCTGTGGAGAAAACATTTGGTTCGTAGTTTTGGCTTATTGTTATTATTATTGCTATGTTGTGATTATTATTATTAGAAGTGGTAGTAGTTGTTGTTGCTGTAGTAGTAGTAGTAGTAGTAGTAGTAGTAGTAGTAGTAGTAGTAGTAATAGTAGTAGTAGTAGTAGTAGTAGTAGTAGTAGTAGTAGTAGTAGTAGTAGTACCTTTAGTTTTATCAAAACATTTAATCAAAACGCTAACGCTTCGATTGAAGAAAGTCTAACATAAATATTAAAAATTAATATTCTATAAATGCTAAATTATTAATAATAATTATAATTATAACGAAAAATTAAACAAGTATGTCATCTTTGCTATCAGATGTTATTCGTTTTTTTATTTATTAATTTTTTTTGATTTAAAAACGAACTTTGCTGAAGAACTTCTCTATTAAGCTCATCATCACCACGGCATGTCATCATCGTCATCAGCACCGCACATTATTATTATTATATAGTATAATTATTATTTATAATTATTATTTATTATAGTTATTATTATCCGTCTAAATGAACCGAAGTCTTTTGTGCAAGTCTTTCCCGTCACATCAAATAACTCATTTTTATTAAAAACCACAATCACGTTTTACGATGGGATTTGGTTGTTAGTTATGATGCACACTAAGTTCGTCATATATACATTATTCTATTTCTTTAACCATTTATTCATTCAATTATTTATTTATCTATCTATCTAACTTATTATTAATTTATTTTAATTTCAACTGTAATACTAAGTAATCAGAACATTAGTCAACACATAGCACAATAGAATAGAACAAACAGCGGTTATTAATATTAATAATCCTCTTCACGTACACACATATATATACACATACACACACATTTACACACACACATATATATATATATGTACATATATATTATAGTTATATATATATATACATATCCATATATATATATATATATACACACACATGTATGTACTTAACTATATGCGTGTAATATACAGCTCTATATTGTATGCTGTGAAGAGTATATATGTATACATACAAAATGAGTAATATGTATATATATAACGCTATACGTACGTACACAAAGTGTACACAAATATGTGTACGTACACACACGCACGCATACATTATACATGTGTGCATTAGTTTGAGAGATGCGATTTCGGTGAATGAATGAATATATAGATATAATACTGTTATTTGTTTACTTGAATAATAATAATAATAATAATAATACAGTCTATTTCTTTTTTTATTGTTATTCCTATTTTGTTCATCTGGTAAAAAAACTTGTGCATGTACGTATTTATTTGTAAATATGTATTTATATGTATGTGTGTGTGTATGTATGTGGCTTCATGTATGTATATGTGTATGTATTTGTGTTTGTTTGTAAGAATGCATGCATAATATGTGTGAATACATATATATCCCAATGTAAAAAAAGCATAATAGACTCCATCCATCCATCTAACTAGCCTAGCCAATAAACAGCGTGTTGCTGATCACGTGAGCAACACAGCGCAGCATAGATATAATGAACATTAGCGTGCAAAAAAAAACAACTTTGGCTCCTATGGCCTCTTATCTATCTTTTCTTTTATTACTCTATGCATTTAGAGTAAGATAGTTGAAGTTAATAAATTATGCGCTACGAATATTTGAAATACTTTCTTTTCTATGCTCCATTGTTGGTGTTTACGTATAAATTTAATTTAAATGACGTCATTTATAAATTTTTCAGGGATTGGCATGATCTTTTATTAAATTTTTATTTAAATTGATCATGATTCCTTTCCTACCTTAACTACACTTGATGCGGGTTTTTTTTATTTACTGAAAAAGACAGTGAGGATGGTGTTATATGGCATACATAAAAAACACACAGACAGATGACACACACGCACACTATATATATATATATATATATATATATATATATATTTTATGTGTTTTTCATAATTGTTGTTGTCTGTTGTCGTTCTGCAATTCTCATAGCATTACCTAAAATTGTTTATTAATTTATCTAACACTAATTACACAAGTGGTTGTATTAATGAATGAATGGATGAATGAAAGTGTAAATGAGTAAGTGAATGAGCGAGTGCGTGGATGAATGATGATTACAACCAGAGTAATGATAACGACAACGACTCGTGATGATAATGCAAATTTTCAAACCAAAGAAACTCGCAAAAAATTCAGAAAATTATGGAGATGATTTTTTATTCATTCATTCATCCATTCACTTATTTACTCATTCACTCATCTTCCACTAATTCATTTGTTCGTTCGTTCATTCCCTCATTTAATCAGTATTTCAGTCTTTTTTTTCATTCGATCTGTCAATCAAACATTTCTTCATTCATTCGTTCGTTCATTCATTTAATCAGTCAATCATTCATTCATTCGTTAAAATATAAACTTACTATCCAGACAGATAATCAAAATGATAAAAATATTCTTGGGCCCCATCATCAATCATATATCATCATCATTTTATGCGTCTCCACACGCTCCATTATCATTTAGTTATTTCGTAAAAAAAAGAGGTTCTGTGAAAACAAAAAACGGCCTTGTTATGCACAGTCAGAGAAAGAGAGCTTGAATGATAAAGAAAAAGAGAGAAAAAGAAAGAAAAAAGAAGAGAAAGAGAGAGATTTGAGATATTAGGTGCAGAACCTTTTAAAAAAGCGAAGAGAGCAAACAAAACAAGAGTATCGTATTATGAAAAAACTTATCATCAAGCCATCTTCTTCTGCACATAAATAACTAAAGCATATGTAACGTTTCATGCACTTTTTTAGTTTTTGTTCAGTTAAATAACTTTAATTTATGGTTTCTGAAGTTTTGTACGTGCAAATCCTTTAAGGTCTAATACATGTTTATCTTTTGATGTGTTTTCAGCTGCATGTTAAAAGGACGTAAAATCATAGTAAAAGTTTAACAGACGCAATCTAAGTGATATTTATTGTTGCAACATCATAACAAGACGCTCTTAATTACATTTTCTGTCAGCAATTCCACTATTTAGTTATAAAAAACTTTGTTTTAATGAATTTTGTGTTAAAACTGTTTCTTTTAGAAGATTTCAGTTAAATTCATACTTGTTCGCACTCAGATGCTTTCAAGTGGTTGTACATCCATTCAAAATTCACTTTATTGCGATTCCAGTTCGTTGTTTGCTGGACTGGCAGACGATTTTTGTTCTCATCTGTTTCATCCTCCATTACGAAGCATTTCTAATTTATCGTGTCTCATTTTTTATCCGAATTTTTTCAAAGTACTAACATATTAAACAGTGTGTTCCAGTGTCATGAAGTTCAGATTCTATGTTAAACTACAACCAACAAGGTAATTAATTTTTCTTAGACGAGTTACACTTTATAAAAGACTTGATATTATATAGTTATTAGTTTTATATTTTAATGCAAGTATGGATGGAAAGGACTTAAAAACATTTTAAAACATATTAAATCTGTCTTTTTAATTCAACCGCACGTATCCGTTAAGGAAACACTCTCAAACAGGGCGAACATAACGAAACAAAAATGAAAAGATGACCATATAAAGTTTACAACATTTCAATAAATCCACAAAATACAATTAACCTGTTTATAAATGTCAGGCGACTACACAACCAGGCAGACAGCCGACGAACCAACCACAGCAAAACAACAGCTCTCCCACATATGCAGCCAGAAGCAATGTAGGTATTGATCGCTCCATGCATTCCTTCACCGCACACTCATTCACTCTCATACTTTGGTTCGTTCGATTCCATCGACTATCGTATGTTTGTACAATGATGCCAGATGCGATTGAGTGCACTATTTATCTGCATATCTGATAACCCACTTGATATGATATATTTGTCTCAAACACCAGTCCCATTCGGTATATTTGATACACTGGGATCAACCCACCTTGATATACAATATTGATACACGTATCAAGCTGTGTATGACAGATTGATAGCAAGCAGTAGATACGCATGATAGCAAGCAGTTATATAAGCAATCAAATCCATGATTCTTCTGACACACCTGCTCCATCTTCACTTCGTGGAATTAATTTTAATCTCGGGTTCGCATGCAAGTTGTGCCTACAAACTCAATTTACACACGAATCGAACAGACAAGATTTGATTTATATTTCTTTTATTGTAATTTACAGAATTAACACAACATAATAAGAGAGGTGTAGAAAAGATGTTAGGCTTTGGACATAATGCACATGGTGACGCCGAACACTACGAAGACCATGCCCAGGATGGAGCCTATGTAAAATATCATTTCACTTTAAACAACTCAACCTTCATTTTCAATTACTCTTTCAATTGTTCACTTTATAATTATTAAATTTCAAATTAAATTAAATTCAAATGGTATAAATAAGTTTTTTTTTAATTTTTATTGAAACGCAAGCACCGCTGTTTAATTAGAATTCTCCAAACGATTTCATAGAAGCGCTATCAAGTGATGATTAAATTTATACCATGTGTGTTGTTGCAACTATTTACAATCAAAGGATGTCATTTATACAACATTAATTGTTACATAGATAGTACACACATCACATAGTAGTTCACACATCGCATAAGCAGTACATATATCTCACACATATAAACACATTCAAAATAACTCGTCATGCACTTCAGCATATGTTATGGATGGCTTTGCTGTTAAACCATATCACAGAAACATAAAACCTGACTCTCTAACCACTGAGCTATCACATACGCGCCGAAAATAAATAAATTTTTTAGTTTTTAAAAATAGTAATAATTACATAAATAGATGTTACAAGAACAATGAACAAAGTAATATATAACCCCCATTAATTGATTTTTCACCAATTAAGTAGCCAACAATGCCTGTGAACACAAGGCTCAGAAAATTTGTGATAGGAATAGCTAGAGAGAGATCTGTTAGATTTCAATAAATTGCTCATTTATTAAATTTTACATTATTTAAATTAATTTTTTTAAACACTCATATTCACAAAATTCTAATATTATACAAATTAATTTCAAAATATACTGACTGATTAAATTTTATGTTATAATTAATTTAGAAAAAAATAAACAAGTTATATAATTAATACAAAAAAATACCGAATTCTAAAACCTGCAGATGACAATGTCAGATAAAATACAAGAGACCCACATTGATTAAGGATGAGAAATCCAAGATACTGTAGTGTAAAATAAAAAGTAAAATAAAAGCTTCACAGGGTTAGGGTTTATTTATAATTGTACATGTGAGCATATGTAAATGCATGTATATAATTATATTATAAATTGTAATAATACATATTCAATATTAATTAGCACATACTTATGGCAAAAGATAAGGTTTGTGTATTATATATATATGTGATGTATAATACACATTTACATATACTCACGGGTACAATTATAATTTATTAATATAGCCGTTTTTTAAAAAGTGAAATTTTGCCAATAATTTTTTTAAAAACTAAACCTTCAAATTGGAAAGTAAAAATTTGATTTCAGCAAGTCTCTGTGAAAGAAACGTTTCTTTATTGATCTCTTCAAATCCTTTGCTACTCTTCTTTAACAGTGGGTTTGTTGCACCCCATAAAAAAGCTGTTACTAGAAGCCAAAATGTGGTGGCTTGGATAATAAAATAAATTTATATTTTTATAATAACGCATTTATTACTTATTAAATCTTTTATTCCATCATAAAAAAAGAAAAATTAGTTTAGCTTTAGTTTATTACTAATTTACTAGTTGATAAAATAAAAATTTTAAAATTTATGATAGCATAGCCATAGCTGAATGAAACTAGAAATAAATATGACAATATGCTCACTCACAGATTTGATAAATCATTAAAAAGTCGTCTATTAAATAATTAGTTAGACAAATAATTTAAAAACTAATTTATCACATTTATATAAAAAAAAAATCACACGAAATAATCACAAAACAAAGCATGCAGAAAATTTTAAGGTGCACTGTTTACATTGCAGACATAAGATCATATAATTAGAATAAATATAACGGCCTTCGATCATTTTTGACAGTCGAACAAGGAGCTTACTTTCGGAGAGTAAATTGGAGGGTGATTTTTTATCGCCCAAGTCAAAAGTTACGATCGAATATTTACTAATTTCGGAATATTGCTTTTATTTAAAATTTCAAAATGTTTTAAAAGGTGATACTAAATGCTATTTTAGGATAGATATTGCTGTATGACGGTTGAGTATCTTTTTGCATTTTAAATAAAAAAAATTTTTCGTGAACCACCAGCACTTAATTCAATTTCAATCAATTAGCTTATAAAGCGCTATTTCCGCGATGTTCAACAGCTCTCTCAATGAATTTTGAAAACAGATGGGTCTTGAGATCCGCTCTGAACTTCGCAAGTGATGGAGAAGTAGTCAGAGAAGTAGGTAGAGAGTTCCAGAGAAAAGGACCAGAAAAAGCAAAAGCAGAGTTGGCAAAAGAGTGTTTAACACGAGATAAGAAAAAGCGAGAAGAAGAAGACGATCGTAAACCGGGGCGTTTAGGTTCAATTAATATATCTGATAAATACTTAGGAAATAATTTAGATTAAGACTTATACATGAACGTGCAAATTTTAAAAATTATTCTATATTTTATAGGTAGCCAGTGCAAGAGAACAAGATATGGAGATATATGAGAAAAGAAAGGGGCACGAGCAACTAGACGAGCAGCAGAGTTAAAAGCTTTACTTAAAGGAGAGAGTATAGAGTCAGGAAGACCATAGTAGAGCGAGTTACAATAATCAATCCTAGATAAGACTAACGAAGTAACAAGAAGGAGAAGAGTAGGATCATCAAGAAAAAGCAAAAGTTTTTTTATTCTACGTAGATGAAAGTAAGAGCTTCTAGCAACACTATTAATCTGAGAAGAAAGAGACATGCTAGAATCAAAGATAAAACCTAGACTACGAAACTTATGAGAGACATCAAGAGTTTTAGAATCAGGTAAAATAATAGGAGGAATAGTAATAGAGTGTTTAGATTTATTAAAACAAATTAATTCAAACTTAAAAGGATTAAGTTTAAGACCAAGCGATAATTGAA